CACTTAACTAAAAGAAGTCTAATGGGGTCAGTAGAGTTCAGCTTGTATTAAGGAGCAGATGGTAATGCAAACTGAGGTACATTTTGTAGAGGCACATTTTGAGCTAATATGTATTACTAACTCCACAATGTGTCAGTATGGATTTCTTGCAAATTTTGAGTCTTTTTCTTTTGTAATGTAGCAAATGAATGTGTAGAGTGCTGTAAATTGTAGCCACAAGTAAATGGTTCATGTTATCATGACAGAGATTATGTAATTTGAGTCAAGGGTGTTGTCCAACAAGTCCTCTAACTGAATGATAGATAACTTTTCAGGGCACTTGTAAAATAAAACTTGGATGATGGTGACTGTAGATTGAAACCCACCAAGGTCTTTACATTGCGTTTTTTGCACAAAATGTTTCAGCTGTGTTGTGTTAAAGCAAGAGCAGGATGAAGCAGGGACTTCAGTGCAATGTGCAGCCCTATTTACAAGGTCAAGAGAACATCCATTCATCCCCCTACCCTTGGCATTCTGTGTACATTCTGAACACCAAATTGCAAGAGTTGGTAAACAGCCAAACAGAGAGATTAATTGTTTCTAGGTTGAGTGGAGCAATGGACTGCAAGAGATGAAGGTTTAATTAATGAAAAAGGCTTTAATTATTAAGATTATGTTGGCTCCTAGTCTCCTCTTGGCAATCGGTTGACCGTGTGTCAAAAATCAAGAAATTAATGAACTTCGAATATATTGAATGAAAATCCGAATATATTAAATGGAAGTCTGAATATATGGAATGAAAACTGACGTTAGAGAAGCTCTGGCACCATCTTGTGTTTTAGATGTTAGATAAATATTTTAGCATCTGATGTCGCTACAAGAAGTAGCACTATGAATAAGTCAGCATAGATTCAGCATTCCTAAGTAATGAAGACATAATTCTATGGAAAATGTCTATACTACTAGTATACAGATCATGTAATTTAGGTACTGCTTCATCATACAAGACTGAATGTACTGAACCTTTGTCTGACTTTTAGCAGATAGATAGATAGATAGATAGATAGATAGATAGATAGATAGATAGATAGATAGATAGATAGATAGATAGATAGATAGTCCAATTTCCTTCTATATATTTGAAGACCTGAAATCCCTCTAAAACATTTGTTAAACAGTTGACTAATGTTCAATTTTCAATGTAGGGTGAGAAAAATGATCATTCTTAGCTTGCAAGTTCTGGTGAAGTGAGTGGTGTTGAAGACGCTTGCACAATTTTTGGTACTTACATGGATAATCAAACTCTAAGGTGAGGTGTCATATTGAAATATCTGGGCAGAAGTTCAATAGCTTAGTCTAAAACAAAATGACATAAATAAATTTCTTACACAGTTTAAAGGTTGCTTTGAGTATTGCTGTGGCTCAGTCATGAAACTCCTGAATGTCATTTCAGCAAAGCAAAAGGGCAGCTACAGAATCTCAGGTGATCATTGCAAAGGACTTAAAGCAGTATGTACTCTGGAGGATAATCATGTGCTTGTCCAGCACACATGAAAAGGTCATTATTCTGCTATGTTTATAAATTTCTCATCATCACCAGTGTTGGGAAGGTTACTTTTCAAATGTATTCCTCTACAGATTACAGAATACATGCCCCAAAATGTATTTTGTAACGTAGCCGTTATGTTACTCAATGAGAGTGACGTATTCTGAATACTTTGGATTACTTAATATATTATCATGCCGTTTACAACTACATGAATGTACTATTGCTGTGTGATTTATTACTTTTACTGAAGGTTATTTGCCATACCAATACCAACTAGATTTGAAATCTTAATATAAAATGAGTAACAGTAGGTTGACATTAGGTAAGGCTGCACTTTTTGCAGCGATCTTGTATAGAAAACTATTCCGTACCTGTAAAACAGGTTCGGGGCTCCGAACCGTAAAAGCGTAAAGGGACCTCTGGCTAATACGTTGGGTTCCATGTTGGGCTCGTAGCTGAAAACTAGCTTTACTTTGTTGTCTGGGTCAACTTTGCGAGAGACAGAGAGAGGTGTTGAAAGGCTGCTCCAACGGAACTTATTGCTCCGGAGGAAAACACGAACACAGTGTACAGTCGAGTCTTAATAGCTTACTTACAACTGGGCTCGTAAGTCACTCTTTTTGGCTGCAGTGGTTATTATTATATTTACATGCTTCCATTTCCCGTTTCTGGTTGGTGCCAACTTGTACTTTTCTACTCTTTTTCTCCCTCCTGGCTCACAGACACATAACGGGTATGGCAGGCCATTCTCCCTGCAGCACAGACTACACTGCCCATGAGGCTACATTCTTTAGGGCTATGCCTGTAACACTCCGCCTATTGCCTTCATATGAAATAATTTTTTTGAATAATTTTTAAAAATATTTCTTCACGTCATTCTGCAGGCCGCAAGTAGAGGTGACATGGGCCGCGAAATTGAGACACAGACATCAGAGCCTCTTAATGCGTGTTTTGTTTGGGTTTCCACCGGCGTGGAAACTAAAAATAGAGAGGGCATAGCCTAGCATTTGAAACAGGGAAATACAGCCCTGTAATCCGTTCATTTCATCAAAGTAACTGTATTCTAAATACCACCTTTTAAAACGGTAACAGAATACAGTTACTCATATTTTGTAACGGCGGTACATGTATTCCGTTACTCCCAAACACTGATCATCACTATAGTGGAATTAATCACAGTAATTATTTGTGGGTGACATACCGCTTACTGTGTCAATCCAGGGAGAGTTGACATATGAAATAGCAATTTTTTTAAATTATTTCACATGGTTTTACTCCTCTGTTGCTTAAGGTTTATATGATGTTAATTAAAATGCATATCCCATCACACAATCTCATTTTCTCTTCTTGTGTTTCCTAATCTACCTCACCTTACAATCACAAACCAGGATGGTGCGCAACATAAACTGAATAAACTGAGTAATATCTGTAAATCAAAAACCAAAAAACGAATTAACAACCTACCTACCAAATACAAAAATATGACCTAAAGTACATTTGACGACATGTTCATAATAGCTAATGTCGCAGATATCATGAACTAATTGTGATTAGGCATTTTCTTTAGAAAGTGGAGTTTCTTTTCAGTTTCTTTAGCTGTGTCTGACAAAGTGAAGCAGGCTAATAGGTTTCAAAAAGTAGCACATCATGCCACAATCTAAAGGAACTCAACAAACAGGTAAGGAACAATGCTTTTTATATCTATCAGCTTAGAAAGAGTTAAAAATTTTATTTCTAAGGCTTTGGAAGAAAATCACAGTGATGGCAAAAACATGGAACTTTTCAGGAATGACTAGATTACCAAAATGACTTCAAGAGGCCATCACCTACTCATCCAGGAGGCCATAAAGAACCCACAACAACTTCTAAAGAACTCCAGGTCTCACTTGCTTCAGTTAAGGTAAGAATTTTTGACTCCACAATAAAAAAGAGACTGGAAAAATGCACCCGTAGGAAGAGAGTTCCAGATATCAATGCTGACCAAAAAGAAACAAAGTCCCGTGATCCCAAAGACTTTTGCGCAAACATCTGTGGACTGATGAGACAGAGGTTGAACTTTTTGGATGATCTCTCTTCCAGTAAAATTTTTTTTAAACTAACACAGCATTTCATAAAAGGAACAGTCACACATGCTGCTGGTGGTGTGATGGCCCATGGCTGCTTTGCTGCTTCAGGGCCTGGACAACTTGCCATAATTGATTGAACCATGAATTTTGCTGTCTACCAGAAAATCCTGAAGAAGAATGTCCAACAATCAGTTTTGTGCTCTGAAACTCTATTTGGGTTTTAGAGCAGGAGAATGACTCAAAACACATCAACAAGTCCACTTCTGAACGGTTAAAAACATGAACAAAATGACCAAACAAAGTTGGTTGGACTCATATGTAATTGCGATCCTTCGTGAGCATAATTACATGAGCATAAAATGAGCATAAACTTTCATACTTGAAAAACCTCCAATGTGGCTGACTTCCCTTTCTTCAAATTTTGCAAAGCAGAGTGGACTAAAGTTCCTCCCCTGCAATGTGACTTTCAATTAGTAGGTTTAAGCAACTACTTTTTCTCTCATGGCCAGGTAAGTTTGGATACCTTCTTTTTTTTTCATTAAGAAATTAAGTCATTTTAAAAACTGCATTTTTTATTTACTTGTGTTATCTCTGTCTAATTTTAACATTTGTTTGATGATCTGAAATGTATAAGTGTGAAATATATGCAAAAAACTAAATAGGAATTCGGGCAAATACTTTTTCAGAGGACTGTATGTCATATAACTTGAACTTCTTGAGCACTGGGGAAACATTCAGGATTTTGTGTTTTCTGTATTTTCAGACAAAAGCTGAAAAAAGGACAAGTTCACATCATTGTTTTATTTTCATCCTCTCCTCTTGTCTTCTCTTGTATTTTTGTTTGTTCTACGTGGTTTTTTTTTCTAATTTCCCGTTTTATGTTGACATAGTATTCTGTTGTGTGTAGTTTGAGCTTTGCTTTGTTCATTTCCCTCCATTGTCCTTGCCTGTCATGAATTCTTTTTACCAACGGTCAGCTCATTCTGCTGTCTCAGTGTGTAATTAGCTCCCTCTCAGTGTCTGTATAGTCCTGTGTTTCCTTTTATAAGGTCCTGTTCCCTGGTTGTTTCCACTGGGTAATGTCATCATTCTTTTCCACCTTGTAGATTGTCTAATGGTTGGACTTTTGATTTCATTAATAAAGGCTACTGTCTGTATGCATGTTGCATCCTACCCTTGTCTTCAGCATTGGAGTTGTCATCTCACATTAAGAAACATACATTTCAAGGACAAAGTTTGTTAACTTTTGAAAAAAGATGCAAAAAATGTGGGTAAATGTCATGGTGTGTACAGTGGCCAGATTTAGCCATATATATTCTTCATGAGGTGATAACGATTGTCTCCTTAAAACTGGAAAGTGGAATAAATATTGTCAGTATTGTGTTAGTAAATGAACTACTACCGTATTTCTTGTCGCTTAATGAACAGCAATATTTATTTGAAGAGAGTAGTTAAAGTGACATATTTGTTCCATATTTAACTTACAGAATAGAGCTGGACAATATGACTAAACTCTAGAACATATAAACAGTAAAATGATTGTTTTTGTTTTTTTTAAATATGTTTTTTTTTTAATATAAAGTTATTTTTTTACTTGACCTTACTTAAATGGACTTTCAACATTTGTTTGGCTACATATGACCGGTTTAACATTTTAGGTAACTGGCTGCCTAGTTCCCAAAAAGTTCAGCTCTGTTCATCTGGACAAAACTTTTTTCAGTGGGAGAAATGTTTTGTCACTCATTCAAGTGACTTCTTCAGTCTAGTTCTGGACTGATAACAGTTTGGTTGGCTTGTAGTTGGATATCACTGACTGTTGTAGTCACTGTGGTTTCAAGCAGCCCAGGTATTTCAAATTACAATATATGAATTAACATCAGTAAGCGAGTCACATATTGTATTTTGGCAGACTGGCATGTTGTCCAGCTCTACACCATAAGTTGGCCAGGGTCAGGGGAACAGAGGAGTAGATAGAATTAATTCAGTGAAGAGAAACAATAAATGAAACCAGTCCGTGAACAAACTTTCATCATCCCAGTGGGAGGACAAAGCAGTCATGGTGTTAAGTAAAACCTCCTACAGGTGAATCTGCATGCAATTCTCTCAGTACACACAACAGATAGTTCAGATCTGAATGAAAACAGCTGAAATGTACGCAACTGAATGCACAATCACAATCAACAATCAGCATGATGAAATGATCAGCAAGACTCAAAAAACTTGTTTTCTGTAGGACTGAAAATTCATATAGCAATGACTTAGAATAAAATTATGTGATTGTGCTTTTTTAACCAAAGTAGGACAAATAATACAAAGACAACATATACATCACTTAGAAAACATTAACACTGTTATATAAAATTTGAATTTGAAGCACTTCTGTGGCAGTAAACAATTTACAAGATGGCAGGTAATGACTGTATATCAATTATAGCAAAGTAACAAGACAACTGACAAACAAAGATCATACTGGACCGCATCAAGCAGTCATTGTGGACAATACTTTTGTAGACACTCACAACCGCCATCAAATGTGCATTTATATTACTAGAGCCAGCCTCCAACAGGTCAGTGTCCTGGAGTCTGGTCAGCAAAAGAAAGCAAACAATAAACAGTGCATCAAATAAAAGTCTAGTTACTTAAAGATGAGAGCACTTTTTTCCTTTTTTTTCCAACACTTAATGAGAAATCTGACTTTTAAAAAAACTTATATTGTGCAGTATTTTTGGAGTCTTTTCCACTTTTTTAAAGGTTGTAGTCCTTTCTCTGAAGCAACAATAGGATATTCCTGTTGAGCTCACATTGCTTCTTAGCTTTTCAGGAACTGTGGAAACAAAACAGCATTAGTCTCATTCCTCTTTTTGTTTTTCCTACACACACACATACACATGAATATATATATATTAGGGGTGCAACGATATTCGTATCGATATTGAACCGTTCGATACAGTGCTTTCGGTTCGGTACGCATATGTATCGAACAATACAATTTAAAAAAAAAA